TCCCTGTGGGCCGTGGCACCTGGGGCCAGTCTGACAGCCCTAATCAAAAAAACAACTTTGTGGCGGGGCGGAGCTTAGTGCGATGGGGCGGGGCTAGTGGGGCTTAGCGTGCGGCGGGGGCGGGGCTTACCTGCGGTGGGGCCCGGCTGACTGCAGCATGGGAAGCAGGAAGGAGTCCCTACTTCCCCAACAAGCAGCCTCCAGGAGCTCCAAGCAGGAGGTAAGAAGCAGGTCAGTGTGTGAGTGTGAGTGTGTGACTGCCTGTGAGTGTGTGACTGTCTCTGTGTGAGTGTGTGACTGCCTGTGAGTGTGGGACTGTCTCTGTGTGAGTGTGTGACTGCCCGTGAGTGTGTGACTGTCTGTGTGAGTGTGTGACTGCCTGTGAGTGTGTGACTGTCTCTGTGTGACTGCCTGTGAGTGTGTGACTGTGTGTGAGTGTGTGACTGTCTCTGTGTGAGTGTGTGACTGTGTGTGTGTGTGACTGCCTGTGTGTGTGACTGTGTGAGTGTGTGACTGTCTGTGTGTGACTGCCTGTGAGTGTGTGACTGCTGTGAGTGTGTGACTGCCTGTGAGTGTGTGACTGTCTCTGTGTGACTGCCCGTGAGTGTGTGACTGCCTGTGAGTGTGTGACTGTCTGTGTGAGTGTGTGACTGTCTGTGTGTGACTGTCTGTGTGAGTGTGTGACTGTGTGAGTGTGTGACTGTCTGTGTGACTGCCTGTGTGAGTGTGTGACTGTCTGTGTGTGACTGTCTGACTGAGTGTGTGACTGTGAGTGTGTGACTGTCTGTCTGTGTGTGACTGCCTGTGAGTGTGTGAGTGTGTGACTGCCTGTGAGTGTGTGACTGCCTGTGAGTGTGTGACTGTCTCTGTGTGACTGCCTGTGAGTGCGTGACTGCCTGTGAGTGTGTGACTGTCTGTGTGAGTGTAAGACGAAACGCGTTATGGAAATATAATTTTGTGTAATAAATATTAAAGTTTTTGGTTACTTGATAGTCCCAACTACCTTTATTTATACATTTACCCTGGCTATTTATACATATCTTTCTAGTTATATGTTATATTTTATATACATTTTATCCTGATTTTAATATCACCTCTACAAGTTCCTGACAAACAAAGAAATCCTAGGTGGCGATTATTCCACCAGCGCTGGCATCAAAGAGCAGTTGGCCTGCTCTGTACTTGTAAGTAAGTTTTTTTATTCTTCTCTGCGATATATATTTATACAGAGAGCACTATCTGGTTGTTTCTGCTTTCTTTGAGTTTTGGATACCCTGACGAACCCATCATACATCCCATAAGCGGGGATTATACCGCTGTGTGCGCTTTACCCTAGAGCTGGACAGAAGCTCTGAAAATTGTGAGTTCGTTATCATTATTCAAATTTTACTTCATTTGAACCATACATTCTGCACTATCGGTTGTTCTCTCTTTTTATTTTTTATATAATACCCGAAGATCGCGTTCCGGTGCCCTAGGACGACAAAGAGGACACTTTTAGGTTGGACTTTTTATCTTCAATACTTATTATTATTATTGGGATTGGACATTGTCTATCTTGGCACAGCCCTCCTTTTATATTTTGCTTTTATAGTGAATAGTCTGCCTACAGCCATCAGACTCTCCCCTAGTCGTCAATCATTTAAGAAGTGCCTTAAAACCCATCTCTTTAGGAGAGCTTGTGGCCTCCCAGAGTAACCTCTACCTCACATACCTGTCTCTTGCTCTCTCCTAAAGGACAGCACTCTACTTTCTCCTCCAGCTCTGCTTGGTTGCTATTTCCTATCCTACTGTGTGTTACACCCCACCTCCTATATACTGTAAGTTCGTTTGAGCAGGGTCCTCTTCAACTTATCGTTCCTGTAAGTTTTCTTGTAATTGTCCTCTCATCCCCCCTCTCATAATATTGTAAAGCGCTACGGAATCTGTTGGCGCTAAATAAATGGCAATAATAATAATATATCAGCTTGGGTCTTGTACATGTAAGATAAGGCGTATCAATGACACTAAGTAGAGGAAAGTTAGGTGTGCTATCGTCCCCTTTACCATGAGGTGGTAACGGGGGGTGGGGAGGGGGGGTGGGGGAAGGGTGTAGGTGTGTGGAACTAGACACCTACCAGATAGGGCTAGTCTCTTATTAGCAGAGCTCCTGCCTGTAAGAAGCAGCATAACAGGACATCCACTCTGGTTACATTTGTTGTAAGCAACCTAAAATACGGAAGATAAAATAAATAGCAAACTAAATTTGAGACCTCGAACCACATATCATTATAGCCCATGATTCCTGGTTGCATCACGTCCCTTGGTGAATGGGACAATTGACGATGGGTCCCAAGCTTGCGTGTTTGACGGTCTTGAGTTGGGTTGAGGAGTAATTAGGCCCAAGGCCCCAAGGAGGGCAGGGGATTCTGCCAAAGTAGAGATCTTATGTACCGTCCCATTGTGTGAAACCGTGAGGAATCTTGGTGACATCCATCTATATTCGATCCCAGCTTACCTTAGATTGCTCGTGACAGGATTCAGTCATTGGTGCCAAGGCAGGGGGGGCATGAGAGGTATTGGTGAGGCTTGCACCTTCAAAAGGATATGATGTCATGCCCTTCAGAGCTGACAGCAAGATTTGTTTGTCATGAGACAGTGAACAGCGGACAATTACATCTGGGTCAGCCGAGGCAGGTGCCCTGTCAGACCTTGGGAGGCAAGATTTCCCATCGATTGTAAACTTTTTGGCCTGAGCTGAAGGCAGGATAGAAGCCACAAGGCATTTTAGGTAGTGTGGGAGCTCATCCTCTATGACGGCTTTGGATATGCCGTTGATTTTGAAGTGGTCTTGTCTTCAAGAGCAGTATATTTGAGTGACAGCGCTGTTTGTGAAGTGTGTAAGGTTAGAGTCCTTTAGAGAAGATATATCTCGTTTAAGGTCTGCTATGTCCTCCTCTGAGGTCTTGACTTTTTCTGTGACTGCTTGTATGTCGGCCTAGAAGATCGCCACATCAGCCGCCAGTAAGTTTTTGAACTCCACCACTAGGTTGTGGAAGACCTGTTTGGTGACTGGGGCTGACCTGTCTTGTGTGTCTGTAGAGGTTTGCTCTGTTACCACAGGTTCAGTCTCCGCAGTTGTGTCTGCCTGCATGGGACTCTGTGAGACATCCAGTTTTGTACGCTTTCTGGCTCCATCATTTCAGGCTGGGGCTGCCATTGGAGGAGAGCTCCAATATCCTGCGACTTCGAAGATACGTCAGGTTGTGTCCACTGGGAATGTTTCCCCATAGTGGTCAGTTGTTTTGGCTGTGAAGCGTTGGGCTCAGACCCCGCGGTTGATTCTCCAGGAGGCTCTAAGCCACCCAGGAAGTTAATTCACTCCCGGTCTAGGGGGCGATGTTTGGCCCCGGATCTGTGCTTTTGCCGTTTCACCTTGAGTGCCTGAAAAAAACATTGGATAGTGCAGGTAAGTATGCTGGGGTAGGTTCTGACTATTTGCCCAGGTGGAGTCCTGTCTAAGCTCCAAAAAAACATGTTTTTTTGCAGGATTTCACGAGGAGCTCCCTGAAGTAGCATCTGCTCCATTTCAAGGTTTGGGATTTTTGAAAGGTGTTTTGACACATTTTGGTTTTGTAGGCTGGATTGCTGGATTTGTCTCCCCTATTCTCATCTTTACCCCTTCACCTTTCTCTATACCTGCTTTCTTTCTGCTCCAGGTTCAATTTTCTAAATGTTTTCATTAATGTTCAACATTGTGGTTCCTGTACTGTGTTAGTCTTTTCACACTTATTGTGTCTCTATCGTGGGACCCTGTTGCCACCGCCCTCCTGAGCAGTATCTTGTCTCTCCCCCTTGTGACATTACTTTAGTCTTTTTTTTCTCTTAATTTGACCTATTATTCCTTAGAATTAATAAATAAAAAACATAGAACATATCATTATACTGCTATAGGTCTAGTCATTACCAATTGTATGTATTTTTCAGATGCCGTTTGACAAGGCATATACTTTTCCTGTATCTATTATTTTCTGTTATAGACTACGCTTTTTTATTAACCAAGGTACGTGCCTTCTCCACTCACATTAGTCTTTTCAAGGGTCAAACCTACATCCAGGAATAGAGAACTGGCTTATAGGTTCAGGTGCTGGCCTTTAGTTTGTGCATGTTAACTCACAAACTAGCCAGGGCAAACTCCCTCCCTCACCGCTGAGGTTTGCCCACTCGGCCCTATGTCCTAGTTATTGCTATGTTACAGTTATTAGTTACACCAGTGATGGCCATATTACAGTTATTAGTTACACCAGTCATGACACAACATTTTGGTAGCTAAGTTTCCCTTGAGCCAAAGCATTGCTAGAGCCTCTCTATACTGCTTGGCAACTAACAAGGCTACACCGATCAAGGGGTAGTTAAATTTTTCGCCTACCGCCATTAAATTAGCCAGCCAGTTCTACATATTAGATATTTGGTGGTATGGGTCATTGATTATTTATTTTGTCACATTCTAGCATGTCTCAAGCATCCAAGCACAAAGAGGTGCTGTCTCTTCCAGAAACACCAGCTAGACCCTACACCCCTACCTGTCCAAGTTTCCCTGCTGAGTCACTCCTCCCTACCACTCCCGGGTCCTTGAGATCATGGACCTCAGGGATTTATCTGTGGTCCTTAAGGCCAGGGATCCTAGACTAAATAAAAAACTATCAATCTTTGAGTTTGTACTCACCTTTGGGCTCTACAGGGATGTTATCTGTTCCGTGAACCCCCAGAAGCGGTAGGAACTGGATCTCTACTTGCACAAATTTTGGGATTTGGGGCACAAGTATGGGGGCTTTCCTTTTATTTATTTTTTATTTTTTTCCCATATCTAATCTTTATTGCAGAAAAATATTTTATACAATACACAATCACAAGACCATACATTATAACATATATGACATACACAGTTATGTATCTAAATATATATCATAGTATTATATCTTTTTCTATATCCATTATTTAATATATTACTCATATTCTAGATTTAAATTTTACATCCCATAGACAGCACGTCAACACATTAAAAAAAATCTATATAATCCCTCGCTCAACCACAACTCAAGCCCCCCAGGCCTCCCTGGACAGTCACCCTAAGAGGTATAATCACTATAACTACAACAGAAGCTACATCAAGCGACGACCGCACAACACCCCCAAGGGAGTGGGCTTGACACCCTCTGGTCCACTTTCCCCACCAACTGAACAAGACCACCACACATTCCTCGCCACTCACAACAATAATAACCAGCAGCCTCCGGGCACCACCACACACACCACATCTCTCCCCTCATACCTAAACCCAGGCACACTTCCGCCCATACAACACCTGGCACATTCTAGGTAAGGAACACTCCTATAACCCACATACCCCCGACCCCCCTTACTTTTCTTCTCTACCACCTCCCTCTGCGTCTTCAACCCCGCCCCCATCCAAGCAATTTCCCCCTCCTACACAGGCCAACTCCAACCCATCACCCCTACCATCTGTCCCACATCACAATAGACCACCCCCTCATCCTCCTACCCCCAAGCACCACACCTCACAATGGCCCAGACAAACACTCCGATACCCAATACGAGACCCCGATATCCACAATCCAACACACCCACCAAATCCAGTACCCTAACATGCATATCGATCAATTGCAAAGGCCTGAACAACCCTTCTAAACTATACCAATTTCTACGCTGGGCCAACAGATCACAAGCCGATATACTCCTCCTCCAAGAAACCCACTTCGACCATAAGAAACCACTCCCCCTCCTGAGCTGACACTCTAATAAGTACTACACAGCGAACTCCCCAACAGGCAAACAAAACGGAATGGCGATTATGCTTCGAAAATCATGCCCCCTAACTGTCACACAAACACACGTGGACCCGCAGGGAAGATATCTGACAATCGCAGGATGCATAGGCCGTCAAAGATACGCGCTCACATCTATATATGCACCTAATCACCCGAACAAATCATTTTGACACACCATGCAGGCCCACCTCAAACTTTTCCCCTCACACCACCTAATTATAGGCGGCAACCTCAACGCCACAATGCAACCAACCCAAGATAGACACTGCACCAGACCACCCACACACAACCAACCACCGACAGCCAAAGCAGATAAACTATTACTCGCTTTCGCAAATAACTCCAACTTACTAGACATCTGGAGAATCCAACGAAAGACTATACTGTTTATTCACATCCTCACCACTCCCACTCCAGAATAAACATGTTCCTCACTTCCCCATCCCTCACAGAATACATAAAAACCACGAACATAGGCTCCATAACGTGGTCAGACCACACAGACACCACCCTAACAATAAACCTACCAAACATAGCGCGGCCCTGGACATAGCATTTGAACCCCACACTCTTGCACAACCTGTCCAACGTAGAAACCATCCAAAATGCGATAACTGAATATTTCACGATAAACGCACCCTCAGTACAATCCGAAGGAATACTATGGGCAGCTCACAAAGCAGTTATCAGGGGCATACTCATAAACCTCGTTTCGAACCAAAAAAAGCAACAACTCCAGAGACTAGAACACATACTCAAACACCTAAGAACACTAGAGTTCCAATTTAAAGAAAACCCAACTCCAAACATTCTAACACGAATCACGGCTTGCCAAGCAGAACTAAAAGAATTCATGGCGACAGACTCAACTAAGGCTCTCCAATGGTCCAAACAGCTTTTTATGAAAAATCTAATAAAGCAGACACACTACTAGCCCGGAGACTACGCCAACGCGCAGCACACAAACACATAGACAAAATGGCAGCTCCGGATGGGCAAATAAAAGATAGCGGGAGTCTTTCAAACATACTTCGCGGATCTCTATGATCACAATCCACAAGCACGCCTAGAACCGAACGCCCTCCGAGACCTGACAAAGCGATACTTGTCCTCCACCACACTACCAGCCCTCAATCAATCAGCAGCGGACCAAATAGCTGCCCCAATCACAGAAGAAGAAGTGGCAAAAGCCATCAAGAACCACAAACCAAACAAATGCCCAGGCCCAGACGGATACACTGGACTATATTACAAATCACTCACGAACACACTCACCCCACACCTATGCAAACTGTTTAACTCAATACTAACCGGGGACCCATTACCGACAGACATGCTACAAGCAAATATCTGCCTTCTCCCAAAACCACATAAAACACTCCTAGACCCTGGCCACTACCACCCTATCTCACTATTAAACGTGGACATCAAATTGTTTACCAAAATTTTGGCCAACCGCTTAAACCTCTACTTAAACAAACTAATCCACCCAGATCAGGTGGGCTTCATCCTCAACAATCCTGCGACAATATCAGACGCACATACGACCTTATATGGATTGCAACACACAAAAAGACCCCCACCCTGATACTGTCACTCGATGCAGAAAAAGCATTCGGTCGCTTGCTCTGGCCATTTCTATTCGCAGTCAAGATGAACCTACTCCCCATATTCCTTTATCTATTCCAAGCTCTGCCCATACCACTCAAGGCAACTGACTTCAAAACTTTACAATCCCAAACCGACCGCTTTATTTGGGTCAACAAAAAAGCTAGAATCAAAAGAGCAACACTATACATACCGAATAGAGCAGGTGGACTAGGCCTCCCTCACTACATGCACTACTACCATGCCGCACAATTAGCCCAAGTACAACACCTGCATGCTCCATACGACATCAAGAGATGGGTGGACCTGGAACATACCATATTTGGTAGGGACTTCCCATCCCTCTACATTTGGCTACCCAAACAAGCAAGGCCACAAACACCCACCACCATGCCAGCACTAACAAACTCCATCAAAATCTGGGACAAACTTGCACACAAAAGCTCCTTGACCTCAATTCCCTCACCCCTCACACCAATCCTTCACAACACACAGTTCATCTCCGGCATGACACCCCAACACTTTTCCAGATTCGAAGATAACGGCCTCCTTCGCTTCCACCAATTCTACTGAAACAGAACACTTCTATCCTTCCCCGACCTACCCCAACAAACACCTTTGACCGCATTCGACCACTTCTGCTACATTCAAATTTGAAGTCTCCTAGAAACCCCAACAAACCAAAAGGCAAGCACTACGAACCTCAAGCCCCTTCCAAAGAGCCTGCATGGCGTGCCCAATCCAAAAAAGCCAGATTTCCATGCTCTATACGAATATTATCACTACCTCCACTGAGGGCTCACATACGTGTCGGCTTGGGAGTGGGATCCTGGGCCTCCGAACCACCCTTCAGACTGGGGAGACATATGGGAGGCCACAGCATCGGTCTCCATATGTGTAAACCACAAGGAACAAGCGTACAAAACACTGATGAGCTGGTACCTTACCCCTCTTCGGCTCAAACATATGGGCAGCGCCAACACCGATTTGTGCTGGAAACGATGCGGAGGAAAAGGCACATACATTCACACCTGGTGGGAATGCCCCCAAAATAGCCTCACTATGGCTCCAAATCACACAACTGACATCCAAAGTACTACACACCAACGTCCCACTAGATCCATGGACATGGCTCCTCTCAAAACCCCTAGAAAACACCCCCAGATGCCAAAACAAGCTGATAGCTAAAATCGCCCTAGCAACGAGGAGGGCTATAGCAGAGGCCTGGAGCAAACCAGAAGTGCCATCACTACAGTGAAACACAAAATAGAAGAAACCACGAAAATGGACAAACTGTCCGCAATAGTACATGACTCCACAAACGTCTTCAACAAAATCTGGGATCCGTGGCTCTACAAGTTCCCACAATCCACGTCCAACCCTTGAAACAACAACGTCCACCACCACCCCAACCCCCCCAGGGACCACCCCAACTATACCCCAAAAGAAACGAACAAGCCCACCCACATCCACACATTCCACTGACAGTAACCCTCAACCAACCCAGACCCACAGCCACCCCCCCACACCTCTTTCACCAGATACAACTCCCCAGCCTTCCCACTAATATTTCACACCTACCACTCTTTCATACCCCCTTCACCTAATACTCAATTTTCTACTCCCCCCAAACAAAACCAATTCGATAATAATCCAACCCAAACACACTACCAACCCATATCCTCACACATGTCACAGTCACTCAACCCACGCCCGACACATTAACCCCGACCCTGCAAAAACGACCACATCGGAAACAGTTAATACCCACACCCCCACCACACTGACAAAAACGGATCGCGCCTAAACAAAGACCTAAAACACGCAAACCAGAACACCACACCCACGGCACACTAACCCAACACAACACCCAGATAAAGGCTCAACATCACGCGGACAAGCCGCAAACCTCTAACACCCATTAACCTTAGAACACAACACCACACCATTCCCCCATGCTCCTATATCCAAAACCCCCCACCCCCCCGCAACACAAATTCTCTAGCACGAGAATAAGCCGAGACACGCACAACAAGATACTGGAAGATGCATTACCTCCCCCTCCACCCACACAAACTCTCCCATCTCCCTGACTCAGCTGCACCATGGTCCTCAAGAAGTTAAGAATACCGTAATGGATGCACCATCTCTTACCACACCCAACGAATCACTTGGTACCCAAACTCTCAAGCCAACGAGAAAGGCACACCCCGAAACTGGCCTTATCCAGAACTACGCGAACAGATACAAACCCAAGGAATACATATGTTACTTTCAAAACCAACTCTGATTAAAATGTAACCCCCCCTTTCTCCTCTCTATTCTGCCCCCCAATTTACATGTATGCCAATTCGTTTTTTACACAATGCAAAGGAAACTGTACCCCACCCCCCACCCCTCTCATCACTGTTCCCCTCCCCAAACCCAAGCCTAAAGAACAACAGATTCCGACGAGAATGTAGAAATGGTCTAGTTGCAATTTATCCATGTTGAAAATTCCAACAGATAATTGGTACATACGCTTGAACTGTTTGACTACTGTAAAATCTGTTACATGAACCTTGTACCACAAAATTCTAACTCCCCGGTTTTTCTTCTGTATCCCCACCCTATAAAACAAAAATCTTTCAAAATAAAGAATTTATAAAAAAAAAAAATCTATACTATAAAACCTCCAATTAATTTAAGTTTTTTGCCTGCGAGGGGGACCAGGATAGATAGGACTTCATGTTCTATGTTATCATTCTACATTTGTTCGGCTACATTATGCCTTATGTTGTATTTGGGAGAAGGAGAAGAGAAAATAATATATTACGTCTGTTGTATCTTACATAGGCATTCTCTTATCTTTATCCTATCTTTTGATGTTATTCCCATTTCCATCTTTAGCTGAAATACCAATTGTTCTTTAACCAAGCCCCA